CCAACTAGTACCGTCCCTTTATCCGCAACTTCTCCGACATCTCATACCCCCTCCACAAACTCACCCGCAAGGACGAACCCTTCACTTGGAATGACCGCCGCCAAAACGCCTTCGACTTCCTCAAACAGACCATTACCACAACACCCGTCCTCAAGATCGCCGACCCCTCTCGACATTTCTACGTTACCACTGATGCATCCGAATTCGCCCTTGGAGCCGTTCTATCCCAACACTTCCCTCGCGACATCGCTGAAACCCCCTCCATCCAAGACTCCCCCACCCACCCCGAGGCTCCACCCGACGAATACCCCATCGCTTTCGCTAGCAAGAAGCTCCTTCCCGCGGAGATGAACTACCCCTCCAACGAGAAGGAACTCCTCGCCGTGATCCACACCCTCAAAGTATGACGCCCGTACCTCGACGGGCAACACTTCACCATCCGCACAGACAACACCATCGTTTCCTCTATCCTCACCAAGAAAGACATCACGCAGCGCCAAGCCTGTTGGTTAGACGTTCTTGCCCAATTCACATTCACCATTTGCTACAGCCCCCGCAAAAGCAACCGCATTGCCGATGCCCTCTCTCGACGCGCTGACCACAAGCCCTTTAAGAAAGTCTACGCCCCCATGACTCATATCCAACTCCTCCCATCACTCCACCACCACTACACCCAAGGCTACCTCTCTTCCCCGGATTTCTCAACAATCTACAACGAACTTCGTGACCTCGACTCAGTTCCCAACTACTACCTTCACGACCAACTTCTTTACGTTGACACCAAAGGCACTCGCCGACTTTGCATTCCCGATGCACATGGCCTCCGTACCCAGCTCTTGGTCGAGCATCACGACTCCGAGACTGCGGGATACCTCGGGTTCCATAAAACCTTCGACACCATCTCTCGCTACTTCTACTAGCCTTCCCTACTCGTCGATGTCAAAGCCTACATTCGCTCATGCCCCAGATGTCAAGTCGTCAACCCCTCAAACCACGCCAAGCCCGACAAGCTACAATCATTGTCAATCCCCACCCACCGTTGGCAGTCCATCTCCATGGACTTCGTCCGTGGTCTCCCCAAGACCGACCGTGGACATGATTGCATCTATGTGATTGTTTGCCGCCTGACTAAACGCGCATGATTCATCCCTTGCACCACATCGCACAGCGCCAAGGACGTCGGCATTCTCTTCTTCGACCATGTCGCACTCCATCACGGTCTCCCTGAAAACATCATAAGCGATCGTGATCCTCACTTCCTTTCACAATTCTGGAAATACCTCCTTAAAGCCTACAAAACCACGCTCAAGTATAGCACAGCATTCCACCCACAGACCGATGGACAAACCGAGAAGATGAATGATACTCTCCAAYGAATCCTGAGGAAGTATTGTCATCCGCATCAACACGATTGGGATCAGTTGCTCACCGCCACCGGGATCACCTACAACAATGTTGCCTGTCCTTCCACTGGCATGACTCCACTCTATCTCGACCTTGGCTATCATTCACGCTTTCCCTCCAACTTCCTGCTCCCCTTGCAACTCAACCCCTCCACCCCCTGCCCTTCTCTCGGTGAATGGGCCTCGGAGAAGCTACCGAAGCCCTTGAAAGAACACAAGAATAACAAGCCAACAAGACTAACAAACACAGACGTGACGTGTCATTCAAAAAAGGGGACAAAGTCTGGCTCTCTGCCAAACACTTTGAACCCGAACACGGCTTGTCCAAGAAACTCTCGAATAAATGGCTCGGTCCCTTCACCATCATTGAACAAACCTCCCCCGTCAATTACAAGCTCCAACTCCCCCTTTTCATGAGTCGTGTTCACCCTGTCTTCCACGTAGAATACCTCAAAGAATACCATGAATCCCCACCCCAATTCGTTGACCGCCCATATCCTAGATCCCCACCAATCATGTTACCCACAGGCCCTGAATTCGTCGTCGAAGCCGTCATAGGACGAAGAACTACTTAGGTATCTAACCACCCAGAACCAATCACAAAATACAAAGTTAAATGGACAGGATACCCTGATGAAGAATCCACATCGAAACCTCTTGCTAACCTTAAGAATGCTATGAAACTTGTTCGCGCCTATGATCGCGCTCATCCTAATCCTAAATACCCCCTATGCCTAAACCCTTCCTAAACCCTGCCTAAACCTTGCTCCAACCCTGCCTCCCTGCACTACACACATCCCCTGGACCCAGCAAACCCCTTGCCCCGTGATCTCCCTCTGCCTGATCCGCTCTTGCCTCCGTCTCGCCCCGTTCGCCCATCTGTCCTCCGCCACATCCTTGTCTCTCTTGTCAAAATTCTCTTTGTGGCCCCTGGCGTCGCCGACGATAATGGATCTAATGGCAAGCGCACGAGGACGATGGCATGCGGCAGCTCAGTTTGAGGAGATAAGACAGCTGGTTGGCCACCATGCTGTTCCCTTTGGCTGGCACCTTGGACTCTCACATGGACATCAAGATCAGTCGGCGACCTGCTATCCGGATCAGACCTCATCATCAGACCTTGTACCGGACGCAACCTGCTACTGGGACAATCAAGCTGGAGCCCTTATCGTCTATATCACAGAACTGCTGAAAACTGCTTCCTCACCACCACTTCTGCAACACCTGCCAAGACCTTCCTCGAGACATTTTTCGCCTCTGACACCTTGTTTCAGACCTGAGACATTGTTTTCCCAGACTTCATCAGGCACCCCAGCACTTGAGCATTGAACAAACAATTTTTTTTTTTATTCCCCCCTCCCTCCCCTTCCCCCCCCTCCTCCCCCCCTCCCTCCTCAAACCTGACAACCTACAACCTTGTAGAACACCAACAGGACTGCCCTGTTACCCGTAGAACCTCAATAGGATTACCCTGTTACTTGAGCATTGATTCCCTCATCCCTGTAGAACCTTAATAGGATTACCCTGTTACTTGAGCATTGATTCCCTTATCCCTGTAGAACCTTAGTAGGATTACCCTGTTACTTCAGGATTGATTCCCTCACCCCTGTAGAGCCTCAATAGGATTACCCTGTTACTTGAACATTGATTCCCTCATCCCTGTAGAACCCCCATAGGATTCCCCTGCTACTGGCATTACTCCCCCTTTCCTTTTCTGACCAGTGATCGACCCCATCCCGTCCTTCACAGTTCTTCATTGGGTCTTTGGCAGCCAGGACGTGGCCTTCCAGAGGCAGGGGATAGTGTTACGGACTCAGCCAGGGCTCGATCCCTGGTCCGCGGGTTACCACCCGCCAGGCTGCGATTCTAATTTTTTTGAGTCTCTGATCTCCGGTTTCTGACTGTTGGCGCCCTCTGCAGTTGGCGCCCGTTCTCCAATCCCACCTCTGGCACTTTCGGATTTGGATACTTGGCGCCATCCGGCATTCTGGCGCCCAGGCTCAGACCTTCAATTTTCAGTTCAGCCCCGAGGCAAATTGCACTTCTGCCCTCGGACTCAACTTGAGTCCGGTACTTAAGACCAGACTCAAGCTGAGTTCAGGCATTCAGTTTTCGGCCTTAGTGGTTGTGCTTCAGTGTGACTTGCTGCGACATTGTGTTCAGAACCAAGATTGCGACTTTGCGACTTGGCGGCTTTGCCACTTAGTGTCTGCGTCCGTTGAGTCGTGTGGAGTCCGTGTCGAGTTGAGTGAGTGTGTGTGTGTGCTCTCACTCCCTCCCTCTCTCTTCCCCGGCCTCGCTACTTTGCCTCAGCCCTGTCACACCCATCCTCCAGCCACATCAACAGCAATCAAGGAGGATGGCGCAGATCTTCCTCTTGGAGACGAGCAGCAAAGCACACACAACGTCACAGGTAAGTGCAGGTAAGCTCCTCCTCATCACTCACACCAACCTCACAGTCCAGATCCTCCTCCTCCTCCTCCTCGCCCACACTCCTGTCAGTGTCCAAATCAATGTGGTTATGGCCACGTCAGCATAATCACCCTCAGGGTTGGCGCCCACACTCAGAAAAGGTGCCAGCATAAAGCTCCAGCAGCGTTGCATTGTCGCACCGGCATCAAGCAAGCGCCAGGAAGAATGCACAAGACTGAATGATCTCCAAGCAGGGGCTGGGTCAACTTATACTGTTGACTCACGTTGACCAGCCTTTGGTCTCCTGGGGTTGATGGCCCAGATCAATCTGAAGCCAATGGTCTGGATGCTGTTCAGTTGCAGATTTCCCACACGTCCCGCTTGGATCGGATTCTTCTGGGTACCAGCAGACAACCAATGATGCACATCTGATCTACAGCCATGGCTGACCAGCGGGTTGAATTTGACCTCTTGGCCTGGATTCCGTGCTAGGGTTGACCGCTGACTTTCTCAAAGTCAACTGTTCTTCGTAGGGCCTCTGAAATTCTGAATGGTGGTTTTGGCCCTCCCCTGGGTACCCCTTGGCCTTAGGCCTTTGTGCAGGTTCTTCTTAGACTTAGGGCGTGACTTTTGACCCCCTTGTCGGGCTTTTGACCAAAGGTGATGACCTAGAGCCCACAGCTCATGCAGATTGAGCCAAGTTATTGCACATCAATGTATTATTTAATGAAACTATCCTCCTCCTGTTCTGATTGCTTCTCTACCTTTGTCCAATGTCTGGTGACTTGCTGCTTATTATGTTACTACATTGAGTGTTTCTGGTCATGTTCTGCATTGTGAGCCATTCATTATTTGAGTACATTGGGAATACTTGCATGATCGACTTGTGAACCTTCACAGAATTGACAGGCTCATTGCAGATGGGCTCATTCCTGCGAGTGGGTCATGCGCAATCGTGTCCAGTAGTGCGATTTGGATTTACCATCCCTGGGGCCCGGTCCACAAAGAGGAGTTCACATCGAGTCTGGGAGTTTTTATCTGGCATTTGGCATCCTATAGGCATGCATTCAATTTCGTGTAACTGTCCTTCGTTGAAACTGGGGATTTATAATGGCAGATATAGGGTTGATTATCTAGTTGACTATCAACCTGTCCGGATGTGTATACTGAAATCATAATTTGCAGGTGCAACACGTTAAGCAGGAGAAAAACATCTTGAGGAAGGTGGACTACCCATTCATTGTGAATTTGCTTGGCTATTGCCAAGATCCAGAGTGTGTTCATCTGGTTCTTGAATATGTGGTTGGGTACGTGCTCAGCATACTCGTTCAATCCTCATTCCTCCTCGTTTGAAAAAGAGGTGGCGAAGTACAGAAAGAAAGAAACGAAATAGTAGTCAATACAATGTGTCTTCCTACCCTCCCCCTTGTACCCTCAAGCACTCCTTGCTCCTATTGGCACCTCAGCAATCATCATCCTAGCTCCACACCAATGATGAAGCCAATGTCTCTCCTTCTAACAGATCGCCATTCTGCAAATGTCAGAAAGTCTCTCTCTAAGACAATAGCATTCTGGTGCAATGAAGATTCACACCGTTACATAAAATGCCGGTTTTCAGAAGCAATGCACTGTTTGAACTGTTTCCCACAGCAGAGGATTTGGTCTCTCCATTAAACATCATTCTCACTCTCTCTCTCCCAATCCAGACACTATGATAAGTTATAGTGCAAGCGCACCTCCGACTCAAGTTATGGCTATCCTGACTTGCACCCTCACGCTGTCTCTGTCCAAACTGTCTTTCTCCAGAGCGAACACTCAACAGCGGTCCAGCCTCAAAATAAGGGCAATGTAGAATGACCGAGCTGAGATTTTGAGACAGGCTGGTCTTCTGCAGTGTTAACCTGGCTGGCCTCCTTCCATTTGCCACCTTGAACGGCCAAGATTCCGCTACCTGGGCAGGCCGGATTTGGTTGTGGCCAGTGTGCGCATTGACTCGGTAGGCCTTGAATGCTTCCAGAAACAGTCTATACCTTCGGATGTATGATCTTTGACCGAAGTTGACTTCTAGAGATATTGGACTGCTGTACCCGGTACTTCCTGATTGTTGACTTGCTCAGGTCCTGGAATTGACTTCTGGAGGCCCTGGGGACCTGATTTTGACCCTTGATCCACGGCCTGCTGACCTAAAGAGATTCTGCAGTCTCTCCAGAGGCATTTGGATCGGATTTTGATCCCTGAACTTTGACTTGGCGACAAGCTACGACCCTAAAACTTCTGCTGTGATGTTTTTGACCTCTGTTCCCGGCCATGGCTGCACTGTCTGGGATTTCCTACATTCTGGGTGCAAGTTCTGCCAAATCCCAACCATATGGAGTCTTGCAAGGAGACCGTACTGGAGACCCTCAAATTATAAGCACAAAAAACTGTACTGACGAGGATGTGTATGGCCAGGCAGTTAGCTAAAATGAGAAAGCAACGATCACACCATTGCACGAATTGATAACATTGGAGTTCGTTGGTGTTCCGCCTGAGCTACGGCGTCATGTTGTAATTGTGACAATTGTGGTGCGGCCACCACACTTGAATTGGTGTGACACAGTTTTCCTCTGCATAGTGCAAGGAATATGAGCAAGAGCGATATACAGAAAACCACGTTGCGAAATGACACAGATGTCCAAGTAGTCATGTACAAGCAGAGAGTGCAAATGCACCGAGATTCCATCCAGATAAGAGCAATACAATGAACTCATGAGCCAATGTCGAAGCTCTCAGGCCACACCAACACCGTATCCAATGGCGCTCTTACTCTGTCTGGCGCCCAGCGCCCAGCCTACACTACTCGCCTATCCTAGTACACCAGCTTTCACACAACAGGCTCACTTCGACTTTGAAGACCAATGTACATGATGTCAACACCATAGCTGACCTACCTCATGCACCAGGTATGTATCTCGTCTCTCCCCTCATCACCCCTGAATTCCCACAGTGTGCATTCTCAACACCCAAAGACGACCATCGCCATCCAGACCTGAACCCAGCAGCCCGGCTATGGCTGTCGTGCGCCCACTGCCCAGCAGTGCACCTCACACCCCAGCGCCCGTGCACGCATCCCAGCCGGCAGCTTCGTGCAGATCACGAAGTTGCAACGCAGCAGCATGGCCGCATTGCCTGCCTAGGCCAGAATGACCTGACCAGCGATGCTCACTTTCCTGTATGGAAAGTGAGCTCAACCTCTGCTGCCTCTGGGCCTGGTTGGGCAAGCATCCAGTAGCTTCCAGTCGGGCCTCAATGCCTGCGCCCAGGCCCAGTTGCAGTTACGAGCCTGGGCGCTTTACGGTTGGGCACGTCCAGGCAGTCCACGGGCCTCCACATGTTCGCTGCATCTCATTGGTCCGTGGCTGTTGTATGATGTGTCGGCCTCTGAAAGCACACGCCCAGGGCCTTAACTGTATGGGGCCCTGGTTCAACTGCCCGTCGAGGCTGCAACTTCCGCAAAGAGCCTAGAGCATTCACGTTGCTCTGTAACCAACTGGCGTGCTGCAACAGTCTGATACCCACATATGGAAAAATGTCAAATCTTGGCCTCTTGTGAATATTCAGGCCCGCCTTCACTTAGGGCGGGCACAGGGCTTGCTGAGGGCCTCTGCCCAGAACATGTGCATGTCTGTTAAGGGCCCCGCGAGGGCTCATTCCCCCGCACATATACGGCCCCTTTAGGGTGATCACACTGGCCTGTACCCAGGCCTTGGCACATATTGGCAGGCCCACCGTCACTTAGGGCGGGCAAGGCCTTTCCCAGCACTGCTGAGGGGTCAATTCCTCGCATACCTTCCCCCTTAGCTTCGAAAGTCCCGTGAGAAGACTTTAAATTCGTCATCCACCTGATGTCTGCAGTGACTTGGTGCAGTGGAACTTCTTGCGAGGATCTGAGTCCTCGGCAGGCCTGAGGGGCCCCTGTTGCAAGAGTGGCCGCCCTAAGTGAAGGTGGGCCTAACAAATCACGAGAGGCCCTTGGTTGTCAATTTCGCATTTGGGGGTCCAGGCAGTTTCGTCACGGCAGTTGGTTGAAGGGAAACACAGGCTGAGCAGCGTGGAAATTCCCAGGCCTTCCAGGCCTTTCCAAAAGCTCAGGCCCTGGGCCAGATTCGCAGCCTCACACACAGACAGTTGGCAGGCCCAACCGAATGAGGCCCAGTAGCTGCACCAGAGGCTCAGCATCCTGGGGCCTACCGGACGCTTCTGGGCCCAGGCCAGTCCAGCCAGGCTTCCAAACGAGGCAGGCTCTTTCCATGCATGGGCTGGCAGGGGATCTCCTTAAATGCCTCCTGTTCAGCCAGATCAAACCGGGGGTAAGGCTCGTTGCATGCGAGGATAAATAATGTGCAGGGGCTGGCAGGTTCGACGTTGACTTGGGGCACAGGGGTGGGCCGGATTGCACACCTTCAGACACGCTGCTCAACCAGATGCTCAGGGCGTCGACACAAAGCGACTACTGAAGAGGGATACAGGGTGAGGGTTGGATTCCGGTAACTGTTCGCTGTGGCACTAATTAGATAAACTGCCATCCAGCATACATCTCTGCAGGAGATGTTATTTTTATTTTTGATTATTTAGTTGTTACAGACTTGACTAACAACTGACAGAGAGCTGCAGATAAAGTAATCTTTGCTGCAATGCCATCTGTATTAGAGTAATCTAAAAATAGATTTAATATCTTCTGTAGGATCTGACATTGGTTGACATTTAACCACCTAACTGTTTCTGTCCAGGCCGATCGAATTTAGTTGTGCATTATAATCGGTTGTGTGTCATGCTGAGGTAGGATTCAGTGTGGATTCTAGTTTAGATCACACACACTGTAGCTCATGAGTGATGCAAGCACTAGCGAGGAGGAGTTGTTAGTGGACGACCGTAGGACTACTCGTAGAACTGCTCTCAGTCGACCTTTGACTTTCATAGAGTTAGGTCCAGGAGACGAGAGGAGACTGCGGAGATAGGCTAGAGAGAGAGCAGCAGCAAGGAGAGCGAGGGACGTCGCGGCCAGCGCCAGGTCTAGGACTACAGCTAATACCGGTACGACCATGGCTACTTCCTCTACCATGTCGTTGGCTTCTTCACAGGCCACTTCGTCAGGAGTCAGTCCGAGTGGTTCTCGGGTTTCCATTAGCCAGAGTGCTGGCTTGCAAGTCAGCCAGAAGACTCAACTCACGCCGGAGGATTATGAGATCCTCCAAGCAGAAGAACTTCAGGATGAGTTACAGCGGCAGTTGGATGAAGCACCAAGAGGAGAAGGAAAGCTATAATGATGAAAGCTAGACTAGGTAGTAGATTGCAGGAGCTAGGCAAGCTAGAAGCACTAGATGAGTCAACACTTGATCCTACGATGCGAGCACTGCGTAACTCGCTCCTGTGTGTGGCGGAGACGCAAGTAGTTCAGCAGGAGGTGTTGGATGAACTACTGGCAGGCCAGAAATTCAGGCTGCATTAGAGGCTCCTCATCCATTGATGAGGCAACCTCGGTTTGTTGTAGCTCCCCCTTCGGGAGAGGGTCCATCAGTGACGCTGCCGCCATTAGGGCCATCATTCTCACCCATGTTTGGCATGCCCCCTCCGGGTGGTTACGTAGCAACTAGTGGTCGGGTTCATAGAGTCTCAGTCGTACCATCAAGGACAGTGGTTACTACTGTCCCACTGTCAAGCTAGGCCCAGGTTAGTGTGCAGCAACCTGTTTCGGTGGCTATGCAACCACTGCAGCAATCACCTGGGCCCATGCAACCCATGCAGTGGATGCCCAAGATCCCCTTGCCGAGTCCTAAGCCCTTCTCTGGCGACAAGAAGAAGGATGAGGACATGGACATCTAGGTAAGGACTTTGTCTACCTATGTGAGGCACAAGCTTACCAGGCCAAAGCAGAAAGTCATAATGGCTGCCTCCTTTTTAGAAGGATCAGCAGCACGCTGGTTAAATGGTCTAGTGCAGCAACAGGGCTATAGTCTCAAACACTGGAACATTTCGTACGGACTGTGTATGCTAGGTGGCACGACCCACAAGGTGCTCAAAAGGCTACCGACGCGATCAACAGTCTGAGTACCAAAAGGTACCGGACTGCTCGCGGAGTCACAGACACCGTAGAAAGATTGATCGTGGTACCGAGTGTGCAGTATAACCCACAGGTACTTCTCACAGATTATTTGCGATGTTTACCTGCAGACGTCAAGAATGAACTGGTGGATGAGGCCTATATAGACCAACATGACTTTGCTTCTTTCAGCAAAAAGGCCTATAGAGGCAAAGCTTGGGTCCGTTC